TTTTTCAATCAAATTATCAAGTTTAGTGCTTAATGTATTACAATAAGTACTTCTTGTAATTTTTATCAAATTATATTAATGAAATTATGAATAATAATTGTCTACATGGTTTAATATGAACAGTTAAATATTTAAAAATGCATAATAAAATACTTATTTAAACACATAACAGTTTTCTTATAGAACAATATATTATTTATTTATAGTCCGATCGTCACAAACATGAAACAACTCATAACAGATTATGTCTAAAGTATATTATTATACCGTATATACCGACGTGTTTCCCATACATATTATATTGTATAGCAAAGTYTATTCTTAAATAACATTTATTCAAATTCTCCTGGCCTTATTTTCAAATACTTATTTTTTTTTTCTAGATTTTTAAACCATTTAGGAGTATCATGTGGCGATACCAACTTTTTTTTATTCAAACGATATTCACCTTTTTTCCAGTAAACTGCAGTTAGTCAGACAACTGCAGTATTGAAAATTTAAACACATAATTTATATGAAACGAAAAATAAACGATCATGAACCTTTGAACACATTCAACGGAATAGGTATGGTAATCCTAAAACCACTAACATATAGGTAAATGCCAATATAGTATATTATTATTATTATTATAATAAGATACACAAAAATGACGGCGCGGGAGAGTTGTAGGTTGTAGGGATACACTTCGATAAATCGACGCTTCGGCATTTTGTAAATATCATAACTTATGAATCAAAAAATCAGTTCTGCCTATTTTTTTTAGCTAGAYAGATACGCAGATTGGCAGCTACATCGAATTTATATAATATATATATATATRTGTATAATATTACAGATATTCTGGCAGTATCAGGGTGTATTAATTGATTGTCGTACACACGTCGCAAATCGCAAGAGAGTCAAATCGATTTCATTCGTTTTAAGAATTAAGTTTACAAACAATCATTCAATAAAATACCAAATGTATAAAGTACATMAATTCGTAATCAGACACTCTGTTTAAAATATATACGCGTGCCGATGAAAATTATTGCTAAATGTATGTTCCGGTCAATTAAAAACTAAAAATACAACCGATTAGAATTTATTTTAAGAACTTACCTGCGTTTAGATCAGCAAACATCGCATGTGTAAATTATTATTGATAAATTGTGCGTTCAGCCGATTTCACTTATAGGTATCTGCAAATCCAATAGAATCGTCCGATAGTGCAACACAATTCTGACCGACCTCCAAATATCACCTCCAAGTCGACGAAACCATCTTGTAAAATGCAGCTACGTTCACACGATCTTTGAATAAAATAGGAATAAAAT